AAGGAAGAAGGAAGGAAGGAAGGAGGAAGGAATGGAGGGAGGGAGGGAGGGAGGGAGGGAGGAAAGGAGTTAAACAGGGATCTTCTAATAATGAAAGTCCCTTTTCCTGCTTGAATCAAAGGTGACTAAAACTTATCATTTATCTATGAGAAGAATTTGAAGACCCCTGCAAACACTGTCAAATAAAGTTAAAAGATCTGATAAGCAAAAGAAAGACGAGATGGCATAAAACACAGCCAAGTTCATGCCATTGCAGCAATCAGATTAGAATGTTGCCACTGGCCTGGCATTCTTGGCTTCAAGAACCTTGACTCTAGTATCATGAATAAATTTAAAATGTCTCCATAGCCTTGGGCCAGTACCTAAAATTTCATATCTGTGGGTAGAAGTAAAATGCCCACGTGCTCCCTGGGCCACCAGGGGTTTGGAAAAATGGGCATCTCTGAGTGCTTATTCTGCAGTGAAGTGGGCCTGAATTCCATCATTACCGCCTATAATAAGAGTTTGTGTGCTGAGTGGCCACAAGAATGGAAAATGTGTACAAAGTATTTCTTTTGTGACCTGATGTTTGCACCCTTCTTCCATTAGTAGCTCATCCAAACAAAAGCATTCCCACCCAACATAATATAGCTCTCCCTTATAAAAATGGAAATACAATCATCCTGTCCTCAAAGAAAGACCTCCAAAATGTGACCAGCTATCTAGCACCAAACCCAGGATTCCTGGTGATGTGTATTCCTCATTTTATTGAGATAAAAATCAAGTCTTAAAATTCTGTCATCTTTGGACAAAAATTTGAAATTTAATTACCACCAACACACTCAAGTTGAAACCACAAGTGTGTGTGTGAGTGTGTGTGTGTGATATGAAAGAAAGAAACTATAGACAGAGACTAAAGTATTTGGTTCCCAGATGGCCATGGTTGATACATATGATTTTTCTAAGGGGATCCATTGTTTCATTGTTTCATTTCTGAGTTAGGTGACTCCTTAGTGATCTTTCTGCTGTGGAGTAACCACTAACTTTATCTCTGAATAATGTTAGTACAAGTGAAAATGCCAGGAGTCCAATTATGCTCCATCCTCAACTCACCCTACCCCTATAGCACAGCAGCAGCCCTAGTTCCTCATTGATCACTCAGGTCTCCACATTTTATTTCTCCATCATTATGGACAATTGAGCAAATACTGCACTGTCTGTTGAAAGAGACTCTCGGGCATCCACAGCTGGACTAACATGTCCATGGCTACTGATGAGCCTCTTTTGCAGCGGGAGCCTTGTGGTGAGCAGTCTCAAAAGGCACAAAGGCTCTCACACTTGGAGACTGCTCCTAGCCTTCATCCTCATACCTCTTGCCCCTCCTCTTCATCATCAATTCACCAATGTTGCCCCTTCTAAATCCCTAAATTGTCTGACCACACTCTTTGCCACATTTTGTGAATTCCTGTAGCTCTATACTTCAGCCATCTCCTTACAGTATAATATAAACTATAAGATAAGATAGAAGTTGATATTCTGCCCAGGAGGAGCATCTTCATCCTACCTTGTTTTTCATAAATAAATGGGGTTATAACACAACACCCCTGCATCGTCTCCTAGTAATGCCAGTCACCTGTAACTCATGCCAGATATTTTTACTCTTTATTCAGGGAGTTTATATGGAACTCCTGATGAGCCTAGATGTGTACATTGGAAGAGGATGGCAAGGAGGCAAGAATAGGCACAATGGGAATGTGGTCCGATTGCTCTTGCACACTTCATGTGCTTTTACAGTTGGCCCCAGCTTCATCCCCTACATAACATTTCATGTACTTGATGAGTCAGTGCTCCTGGATGTGCTAGACCTATGGTAACACGAATCATGTTAACATTCTTTTACCGATAAACAGCATGGTTGGTATGGCTGCTGGGAGTTCCATGGTTTTTTTTTTTTTTTTTAGCCAGGGCCCTAGTCACCAGCCAAGAAGCATTACTTAGAAGAAGTGTAGTGACTCTATCCATAGAGGCTTCCATTGTGAATGTCCCTATGAGGACATGGCAAAGTCTCCACACAACATTCACAATGCAGACTATAAAACCTAAGTTGCAGACAAAAGAAACAATGCTTTAATAAAACAATAAATTAAACTTGAATAGACATGCAGATTTCATGTGGTTCTTTACCCAAACCTTACTCTTACCTGACAACCTAAGCTAGGGGTAATTTGATTCGGTTTACTCCTATAGAACGCGCATAACTAATATATCAGGTGTTTCTGATGCTGTCAGATCAAAGCAGCGAAATTGATCTAATGCTAAAGCTCATTTCCTTAGCAAAGACCATCCCCTAACTTCAAACGTATCTTCTCCTTAAACAATAGAAACCTTCTCATTGAAATCTGCATTTGACAAAAATATTTCATTTTTAATAACATTTAATTTTAGTTCATTTGCACAGTGTGGGTTAATTTCAAAATCTTGCAGAAAATCGTCAATAATTTGTTAAGAAATTCAAAAGTAAAGATTATTCTAATATTCTGAATGTAAAGAGAATCAATTTCCAGAAATAAAATCTTATACAATAAAGTGTGTTGATTTATCTTAGGGGGAGATAGTTTAATAAGATTGTTAAATAGCTCATGTTACTAAAACATTAAAAAATTGATTTGAAAATTATATATTAGTAGAGTTTTCACACCTTTTAAGCAATAGCATCTGTCACAATTTCTTATTTCATGACTTTTATTATTTTTGTAATTATATTTTTGAATGTTTATGTTATTTATATCTCACTTATAAATATAGTTAAATTGCCTAAATTATGGAAACTTCAAGAGTCAAATAGAACATTTTGCTACTTAAATTAGAGATTAAAGAGACAAATTATAACCTGACAAGGTGATAATTGGAAGTTCAGATTGGATCAAAAGAGCATCTTTTGTGTGTCTTTTACTTGGTACAAACTTAGCTATTTCTCATATATCAATTCCATTGATACATTTTTCTAGGTAACAACCCTTGGTAAATGTGATTGTAACAAAGTATTTTAGAACATTTAATAATTTAAAACAGATTTTATTATGTTAATTACAGCTCTTACTAATGCTTATTAAAATTTCACATTGTTTTATATACCAATTCACTAGAGTGAAACTAAAGTGGGATTTGGCTTGACCTTAATCAAAGTTCCAGCCTGTAGAGATACTGATGCTAAATGCTTCAGGATGGTATTAATGAGAATGCATCTATATTGGCTGATGCAGAGTCTAGTCAACACTATGGCTGAAGAGTATACTCAACCTAACCAAGTTGCCAGACTTGAGAAAGAAAAGGCAGAATAGGTTTGGTTTTATGCTGAGTAAGGGGTGTTACGATTTTTTTTTTTTTTTTGGTCATTTTTTTAACTCTCTGTGGAACATATAGTTAATTCCTAAGCATACTCAGTCATATTCTCATTCAGGTATCTTGTTATAGAGTTGTCTACTTATGGGTGATTCCTTCAAGACACATAAAAAAGTAGAACCTTCCTCGCCCCAGCACCACCAGGCTGGGATACTCTTGAAAGCCTCTTTATTCTCAAACCATTGGTATTCTTGGCTAATCTTTCCATCATTCAGATGCTGGACAGTATTGTAACCAGATGCATGGTGATAAATTCTAACAAGACTTTGGATCAGCCTTCGATTTACAGTACAGCAATACTGTTACTATACTAAAACAGAAGACCTTTTATAATATCAAAAATTTCCTTCTCTTACACACACACACACACACACACAATTAGTATATGATATGCAGCCTTCCTAGAGGACTATATTAAGCCATGTTTTCTGTCAATGTGATATAAAGAAACAAGAGACCTCCTTGTAATTTGGATTTTTCCAGGTATCTAATTTCAATCTAATGTACTGCTATGAAATGAAGCCAGTAAATATATATGGCTATTCCATTTGAGGACTTGGTCTTTTATTTTTAGTCCGTGACAATTTCTGGTTTCCATTCCTTGTTCAGGAATGATAACAGTGTGATTTACAGGTATAACTAACAAATGAGATTAATTAAAATGTCTAAAAGTGGCACCTGTCTGAGTATAGAGTTGCACTAAATGATTCTTTCAGCTTCGTTTCCTGTAGTCCTTACCATTTACAAGCCCTTCCCTCATGCAAAGTAACAATGAAGGGTTGTTTCCTAATGGGCATGAACTAAGAAAGCAGGCCTTATCCTATGGCCTAGATATATGATTATTATCACGGACTGGAAACAACAGGTGTATTTTTCAACTTCATTTACACAAATGATCCCTGTGTTTCACAGCATTCATTAATATAGCTTCTTGAATTGCCCAATTTGTTACAAATTTTTGCTATCAGCTGCCTTTGTGATTGAATTGAATTTGTAATGAAATAAAAGCTATCTTTCCTTTGTGAACATCGCTGAACACTTTGATCATTACAAGACAAACTTGATACTTTTAAAATATCTTAGGTTGTGGAAAAGGGAAAAATGGTTACTTCTGAGGATAAAAGTACCAATTGGATAAAACACTCCAGTGTTTTGTATTTACATTTCTTCTATGAAAAAATTGCAAATAAATAAATGGCAATTTGCCAAACTTTATGATCATAAAGCATTATGTAAAATGGATGTAGAAATTCTGAAACCTCAGGTGTATATTACTAGTAGTAGTTTTGATTACAATCAAAATGTTGAATTGAATTTTGTCAACATGCCTATCAGTTATGTCCCCATTTGGGGACAACAGGAGCTATAATGCATAATGAAAGATGAAAATTTTCATTCCAAGCCATACCTCTGAAATCAGCAATTGTGTTTATGAAATAAATGGATATTATTAACATATTTGAAATTGCAAATTAATGGAATTTTCAAAAGATAACTGGAGTCTCCATTCCTAAGTGACATAAATACCAAAATCAAAATACATCAGAGAGTATGTAAGCAGAGAGATTTTGCCCACTAAAACAATCTCAACTCAAGCCATTTATAAGTAAGATACTCACACTGCTAGTCTGGCTGGGATGGTCCGTGGTTAATGTCTGTCACTCTCGCATATTTTAAAATAGTGACTCTTTCCATCTTCATGAGTGAGTTTGAACAGCTAATCATGTAGTCAGTCAACTTGTAAGTCTAGCAAAAAAAAAATTGTAAAAGTTACATCTTATTGAAGCAAAATAATATTGCATTTATAAAAGTGTAATTAAAAGTACTCATCCAAATAAGCCACAGTTTGATACAAGTGATTCCTTTTTTCTCCTAAAGACAGTCAGAGCACCCTTGCTCTACAGACTGTGGCTCCAGAGATGCCAGTTACAATATGATTCTGATATGCTAATGTTCAACTGGTGTAGTACTTTAAACATTTTTACACAGAACTGCCATGTCTTATTCTGCAACAAATAATAAAATGCATCAGGAGGAAATCTAATTATACCTTATCTCTTATACCATTTATCTTCTGTAGGTTATATACAATAGAATTCAAACTACAAAATCAAAGCTACTCTAATAATTTATAGCACGAAGAGTGGCAACAAAGTTTACATCACAATGAAAGAAAACACTCACACATTTAAATTTTTTAAAACATAGAACTCTGTTATTATTTACTAAAAATATTCTAAGGGTCATATAAAACTAAGAAAAGGTGTTCCTAGGTGGCAGTACTATGCATTTATAATCTTCTTTTATATACAGTTTAATTCTACTTTTAAAAACTGTATTTCCAAAGTTGCTGGAGGCTCTCAGAATCTTTGCCAATAGTTTGTTGCAGTAGATACAGTCTGAGAAATATAATACCTCAATATCTTCCAATCAACCTAAGAAAGAAATTCAGAAAGATAGACTAATTTATCAAGGCCATGGAGAAAGAGAATTTTGGAGTTTAGGCTAATTTATCAAGGTCATGGAGAAAGAGAACTTTGGTGTTTGAGTTCTGGCTGTTTCATCTTCCTTTTCTTTTCCTTCCTTCCTTCTTTCCTTTCTAATTTTTAGTGACTTTATTAGACAACTAGGCACCACAATCCCCGCTGCTGTTGTTAGAGAATTCAGGGTACACAGTGATGTTCCATGTTTATGAGTAGGGGATGCCATCAGCCCGTAAGACCTGATAAATTTCACACCAAAATTGTTCACTACATGTTTGGCGAGTTCAGAAGTTTTAGAGATGCCTTCAGAGATGGTGAGTGCGATACATGAAGATCTTGATATCACAATTGATTGATCCTCATTCCTAAATTCAGGAATTATGAGCCACTTAGAAACAGTTCCAATGATACTTTGAGATTAACTCCACTACTGACTTAACTGAACAAAATCTCTGGAAAAAAATATTTTTGAGCCAGATTTTTCCCAGAGATTTTGTTCAGTGGAGTGAGTAAATAAAATATCAGATATTGGGCTGGGATGATTGCAAATGCCAGCATAGTTCTAAAGACAAATGTTTATCACCATATGTAATGCAATGTATAGGATTGTGTTTGTTCTCCACCCTGTCTTCTACAAGTAGACCTTGAGCACTTTGAGAATTGCATTGTTTTATTAGTGTCAAATTTTATTTTATTAAACTTTAAGTTCTGGGGTACATGTGCAGAACATGCAGGTTTGTACATAGGTATACACATGCCATGGTGGTTTGCTGCACCCATCAACCCGTAATCTACATTAGATATTGTTCCTAATGCTATCCCTGCCCTAGACCCCCACCCACTAACAGGCCCCAGTGTGTGATGTTTCCCTCCCTGTGTCCATGTGTTTTCATTGTTCAACTCCCATTTATGAGTGAGAACATGTGGTGTTTGGTTTTCTGTTCTTGTGTTTGTTTGCTGAGAATGATGGTTTCCAGCTTCATCCCTATCCCTGCAAAGGATATGAACTCATCCATTTTTATGGCTGCATAGTATTCCATGGTATATTTCTGCCACATTTTCTTTATCTAGTCTATCACTGATGGGCATTTGGATTGGTTCCAAGTCTTTGCTATTGTGAACAGTGCCACAATAAACATATGTATGCATGTGTCTTTACAGTAGAATGATTTATAATCATTTGGGTATATACCTAGTAATGGTATTGCTGGGTTAAATGGTATTTCTGGTTCTCGCTCCTTAAGGAATTGTCACACTGTCTTCCACAATGGTTGAACTAATTTACACTCCCACTAACAGTGTAAAAGCATTCCTATTTCTTCATATCCTCTCCAGCATCTGTTGTTTCCAGACTTTTTAATGATCACCATTCTAACTGGCGTGAGATGGTATCTCATTGTGGTTTTGGTTTGCATTTCTCTAATGATCAGTGATGATGAGTTCTTTTTCATATGTTTGTTGGCTGCATAAATGTCTTCTTTTGAGAAGTGCCTGTTCATATCCTTCACCCACTTTTTGATGGGGTTGTTTGTTTTTTTCTTGTAAATTTGTTTAAATTTCTTGTAGATTCTGGATATTAGACCTTTGTCAAATGGATAGGTTGCAAAAATTATCTCCCTTTCTGTCAGTTGTCTGCTCACTCTGGTGATAGTTTCTTTTGCTGTGCAGAAGCTCTTTGGTTTAATTATATCCCATTTGTCTATTTTGGCTTTTATTGCCATTGTTTTTTGTGTTTTCATCATGAAGTCTTTGCCCATGCCTATGTCCTGAATGGTATTGCCTTGGTTTTCTTCTAGGGTTTTTATAGTTTTAGGTCTTATGTTTAAGTCTTTATTCCATCTTAAGTTAATTTTTGTATAAGGTGTAAGGAAAGGATCCAGTTTCAGTTTTCTGCATATGGCTAGCCAGTTTTCCCAACATCATTTATTAAATAGGGAATCCTTTCCCCATTTCTTGTTTTTGTCAGGTTTGTCAAAGATTAGATGGTTGTAGATGGGTGGCTTTATTTCTGAGGCCTCTGTTGTGTTCCATTGGTCTATAAATCTGTTTTGGTACCAGTACCATGCTGTTTTTGTTACTGTAGCCTTGTAGTATAGTTTGAAGTCAGGTAGCATGATGCCTGCAGCTTTGTTTTTTTGTTGGTTTTTGTTTGTTTGTTTTGTTTACTTACAATTGTCTGGGCTATGTGGGCTCTTTTTTGGTTAGATATAAAATCTAAAGTAGTTTTTTTCCAATTCTGTGAAGAAAGTCAATGGTAGCTTGATGGGAATAGCATTGAATCTATAAATTACTTTGGGAAGTATGGCCATTTTCACGATATTGATTCTTCCTATCCATGAGCATGGAATGTTTTTCCATTTGTTTGTGTCCTCTCTTATTTCCTTGAGCAGTGGTTTCTACATCTCCTTGAAAAGGTCCTTCACATCCATTGTAAGTTGTAGTTTTAGGTATTTTATTCTCTTTGTAGCAGTTGTGTATGGGAGTTCATCATGATTTGGCTCTCTGTTGGTCTGTTATTGGTGTATAGGAATGGCTGTGATTTTTACACATTGATTTGGTATCCTGAGATGTTGCTGAAGTTGCTTATCAGTTAAAGGAGATTTGGGGCTGAGACAATGGAGTTTTCCAAATATACAATCATTTCATCTGCAAACAGAGACAGTTTGACTTTCTCTTTTCCTAATTGAATACGCTTTATTTCTTTCTCTTGCCTGATTGCCCTGGCAAGAACTTCCAACACTATGTTGTATAGGAGTGGTGAGAGAGGGCATCCTTGTCTTGTGCCAGTTTTCAAAGGGAATGCTTCCAGTCTTTGGCCATTCAGTATGATATTGTCTGTGGTTTGTCATAAATAGCTTTTATTATTTTGAGATACATTCCATCAATACCTAGTTCATTGAGAATTTTTAGTATGAAGGGTGGTTGAATTTTGTTAAAGGCCTTTTCTGCATCTATTGAGATAATCATGTGGTTTTTGTCATTGGTTCTGTTTATGTGATGGATTATGTTTATTGATTTGTGTACGTTGAACCAGCCTTGCATCCCTGGGATGAAACCAACTTGATCGTGGTGGATAAGCCTTTTGATGTGCTGCTGGATTCGGGTTGCCAGTATTTTATTGAGGATTTTCTCATCAGTGTTCATTAGGGATATTGGCCTGAAATTTTCTTTTTTGTTATTGTGTCTCTGCCAGGTTTTGCTATTAGGATGATGCTGGCCTCGTAAAATGAGTTAGGGAGCATTTTTTCTTTTTCTATTGTTTGGAATAGTTTCAGAAGGAATGGTACCAGCTCCTCTTTGTACCTATGGTAGACTTCGATCAAGCAGAAGAAAGGATATCAGAGATTGAAGATCAACTCAATGACATAAAGCACAAAGACAAGATTAGAGAAAAAAGAGTGAAAAGAAACAAACAAAGCCTCCAAGAAATATGGGACTACGGGAAAAGACCAAATCTATGCTTGATTGGTGTACCTGAAAGTAACAGGGAGAATGGAACCAACAGACACCTCATATAGGAGAGCTCTGACTGGCATCTGGTGGGTGCCCCTCTGGGACAAAGCTTCCAGAGGAAGGAACAGGCAGCAATCTTTGCTGTTGTGCAGCCTCCACCAGTGATACCCAGGCAAACAGGGTCTGGAGTGGACCTCCAGCCAACTCCAAGAGAGCTGCAGCAGAGGGGCCTGTTAGAAGGAAAACGAACAAACAGAAAGGAATAGTATCAATATCAACAAAAAGGACATCCACTCAGAGACCCCAGCTGAAATTCACCAACTTCAAAGACCAAAGGTAGATAAATCCATGAAGATGGGCAGACACCAGCGCAAAAAGGCTGAAAATTCCAAAAACCAGAATGCCTCTTCTTCTCCAAAGATCACATCTCCTCTCCAGCAAGGGAATAAAACCAGACAGGGAATGATTTTGACGAATTGACAGAAGTAGGCTTCAGAATGTAAGTAATAACAAACATCTCCGAGCTCAAGGAGCGTGTTCTAACCCAATGCAAGGAAGCTAAGACCCTTGAAAAAAGGTTAGACGAATTGCTAACTAGAATAACCCATTTAGAGAAGAACGTAAATGACCTGATGGAGCTGAAAAACACAGCACTAGAACTTCATGAAGCATACACAAGTATCAATAGCTGAATTTATTTATGTCAATTTTTATCCACAAGAGGAAGTATACACTCCTTAATAAATGATAGTCTAAGGGATAAATGGATATGATGGAAAGATCATTCAATGAAACTAAGATAGACAATTT